CCGCAGGTGCCCACAGCAGCACCTGGCAGTGACACAGCCTGAGCCATCTCAAGTTCTTATCCTCCTCTCTTGGCTCCCACTCCTGCTTCCTGGGGCTACCTCCCCTGATAACCCCCTGCACACTGTCCTCTCCTGCTCTGATGTCAGGGCTCCTCCAAAGAAAACAGTGCAATGTTGAATGTGGCGAGCAATCAAAGAAACAAAAGCCCTTTGAGGTGTGACAAATGCCAGGAAGGAAATGGGTGACTGCTGTGACACAGCAAAACAGGGAACTGTACTTCAGATCGTCCTCTGGAATGTGGCACCCACTGCAGGACGGGGAAGGGGCTAGAGGAGGGGGAAGGGGCCAGAGGAGGGGGTGAGGGGCTCAAAGGGAAGAAAGGCAGGTGCTGTGGTGCTGGGTGAGAACCAGCTAGGGGTCTTTCAGCACAGGGCCAGGGCTGCAGGGGAGAGGGGGCTGCAGACATGAGTGTCTCTTGGCTGCTGTGTTGGTGGCGAGGGTTCTCCCAAGAAGCAACCCATAGCTGCACAGCCAGAGTTATGATGGGACTCCATTCATAGCACTGTAGAGGCCCAGAAGCCTTACAATTTGCTGTCTGCAAGCCTGAGGCCAGGAGAGATGGTGGTGTTATCCAAGTTCCGAGGGCTGAGAACCAGAACCATCCCTGTCCCAGCTCAAACAGAGGACAACTCTGCCCTGCTTCTGCCTTGTTTTGCTCTGCCAGCCTCAACGAACTGGACAGTGCTCACTGCGTACTGTCTGCCGCTGCTCGTCTCCTCTAAGATGCCTTTGCGGGCATACCTGGACACAGTATTTTACCAGCTCTCTGGGCAACCTTAACCCTGCCAAGTTGATACCTGAAATGAACCATCACCAGTTCCCCATGGAGAAAGCTGGGCAAGATTCCAGCCCCTGCCCCACACGGGTGCCATGTCTCTGAGCTACCAGCAGTAGCTGTGGCAGTCGAGGCTCCTGTGGGCTGCTGGGGGACACAGAAGTGGCAAAGAAAACCCCTCCAACACTTCTGCCATTGCCAACCAGGCCCTGGCCTGCTCTTCCAGAGGCTGGTGGTTGGTCTTGGGAAGGCCTGGAAGATTCTAGCAGGAACAGAGATGGGCCAGCCGAAGGTCAACGCCCTAGGAGGAAGCACAGGTACAATTCAGGCTTTGGGAACTTGGCTCCATTTACCCAGCTTGCCTTTATAGAGAGCCACATGTCAGAGCTGAGGCCTGGCTTCCAGGAGACCCAGTCAAATAAGATAGAGCTGCTGTCTGGGGTAGATCTGCTGAGAAGGAGGCTTAGAAACAAACAAACAAACAAACAAACAAACAAACAACAGAAAAACCCAGACTGGTTCCCAACACACCATGACTGTAATCTATCTCTGCCATGGCAATACCGCCCACCTTATGGCCCCAAGATGACTTTCAGGGGCACAAAAACACAAACTTAGGCCAGTCCCGGTGGCGGGTTGTTTTTTCCTGTCAGCCCTTCTGACCCCATCAAAGAGAAAGTCTCCATGAGGTGCTAGCAGGTCTCTGACATGCTAGTCTCCCCTTTCAATGGGGACAGCAAGCCCAGGCCAGCCTGCGATGAGGAAAGCGTGGGACCTGGTACAACCTAATTACACGGGTTTGCCTTTACCGTTTTTTTAATGGTGCCTTTGACTTCTGGCAAGTCACGAGTTGATTGGTCACGGTCACTGTCCTGACAAGATATATCCACGTCCTGGCCTCAGGCACCTGCGAATGTGACTTTATTTGGAAACAGGGTCTTTGTGGTTATCATTAAGGATCTTGAAGTGAGATCGTCCAGATCAGGGGAGGCTTTGAGCCCCAAAGGTGGCATCTTAGGAGAGGGGAGAGGTGGACTGGCATGAGACTCAGGGAAGACGCCACTTGAGATAGAGACAGAGAGGTGTCACCCCAGGGACACAAGGAAGGAAATGGGTGGCTGCTGTGACTCTGCAAAGCTGGGAGCCCTATTTCAGAATGCTCTGTGGAATGCCAGGGATCACTATAGCCAACTGAAACTGGAGGGAGGCTCGGATGAACTCTTCCCCCACTTCTACAAGTCTGCACCGCTGGCCTCTGGAGCAGTGCCAGAAGTTCTAGGCCTGTGGAGCCCTTGCTGGTGATTCTTGCTGGGCAGCCCTAGAAAAGGAATGCAGCAAGTGCTGCTGGCCTTGTTTCCAGAGGTAAAGCCTTTCTCTTAGATAAATTAAATGTAAAACATGAGTCAAAAGTGACTGACGGTGGGGTGTGGTGCAGGCCTATAATCCCAGCACCTAGGAGGCTGAGGCAGGCGGATCGCCGTGGGTTTGAGGCCAGCCTGGGCTGCACAGTAAGTGAAAGGCAAGCCTGCACTAATGTTGAGACTTTCTCAAAACAAAAACAACCGAAAACACCAAAATGGTAATAGCTCAGGTGTTGGGCAGATGTGCACCTGGGGGAGCATAAGGACTCTTGCAAAGGAAATCAGGCTGAGCTGGTGACAGAGGGCATGTGGGTGTGGGGCTGAGGGGCAGCTCCTGATGCCTGGGGCTCCACTGGCCCAGCTGGAGCTGGAAGACAGTAGAAGAGCACCCTCAAGTGAATTCTTGGGAAGCCCCACATGTGTCCAGGGATTCAGAACCATCTGCCTTTGGAGAAAAGCACTTTAGACGGGGAGGGTATTTTCCCACCACCCTGAAGTGCCAGGAAGAAGCAGGACAGGAGGGGAAGGGGGTTTCCAGCAGTCATTGGCAGGGAATCAGTCTTCCCTTCTTGTGTAGGACTCAAGGTCACTGGTACTTGGGATGTCACCACCTGCTCTCACCTGCCCTTCATGCTTGGTGCTGTCAGGATACAGCAGGGCAGAGCCTGCCTCCAGTCTTGGATGGGACCCTGGGACACAGCACCATCCACTGATCTGCAGTCAGTCACTTCTAGTGTGGGTGGAGTGGGGTACACAACATGCTCTACAAAAACCAGAGACTTAGGTGAAGTGACCCTCAGCTGCTAAATGCTTCATGGCAAGCTCTGGGTTTGAACCTGGGTTGGTGTGTTCATCAGCTTTCTGTTACTGGAGCAAACAGCAGAAGACCCAAATGATAAAAAAAAGGTTTGTTTGGCACAGTCTTGGAAGTCCCGGTCCATGGGCTTCATTGCTTTGGGCCTATGGTGACATATGGCAGGAGGACATGGTGAAGGAAAGCCATTCACTTCATGGCCAAGACTGGGAGTGAGAGGAAGAGGAAGGGGTGGGTTCTACTGGCTCCTCTAAGGGCACAGCCCTGATGGCCTGAAACCTCCCACTTGGCCCAGCCTCCTAAGGTCCCACCACTCCCAGTGGCACCAGGCTGATGGAATAGCCTTGAATATACGTGGTCCTTTGGGGACACTCAGACCCAAACCACAGTGGCTGGGGGAACTGTCCATGAGATGATCTCATGCCAAGAACCCCAGACCATCCACTCTGAGTTGAGGACTCTGCATGTGCACATTGCTGAGTTCCTACAACCTCCAAGGCTGGCATTGGCTGCTCCTGTCTTCTCTTCAAAGGGGAGCAAACCCAAGCACAGTGGGAACCTGGCCCAGGCTATGATGGCAAGGGCCCCTGCAGGAATTCAGACCAGGCATCCCTGGATCCCAAAGATGGTTTTTCTCTAAGACCTGGAAGGGCGGAGGAGGAAGAAAAAAAAAGCTGCCATCACTGAACATCTACTGTGTGCCCAAGGCCATGCAGAGGGCCCTCTCGGTGGTTTTGGAGTTTTGAATGAGAGCTCCAGGTGACTTCAACAGAAGCCCCTCACTGCTTCACTCGCTGTGCTTCACTTTCTTGTCGCAGCGCAGGGATGTGTACGCAGCCCAGGAGTCAGGTCAATATAGGACAGCACAGGGAGCACGTGGTCCTGTGTCTGCGAAAGTCTGGGGAGCCCGCTGGGCCTGTTCCCCATCTGTGATAGGTGAGGCTGACTGAGGAAGGTTGCCCTGGCAGACAGCTGTTAGCCTCCACCCCTCCCTGGGTCTCCCAGGCCTAGAGCTGGTTCTGGTCTGGAGACCTGGAGTGGGTATGTAGGTGGCTGAGGTCCCAACAACTGCTGCTCACTGATTTTGTCCACTCCAAGGGCATCTTCCACTTTCTCCCTGGAATCCTTCAAGGTGGTATCTTTTTCTACACTGAGTGGCGGACCATATTTCCAAAGCGCAGACGCTGAGGGAAGAGGAGGCTACAGGTGGGGTCCTGATCTGAGGGCAGGCACCCACAGATACAGCTTGTGGCAATCATGTCCCAGGGCAAGGTGGGCTCTAGCCCCACCCCACAGCTCCCCTCAGAGCCTTGGCGGGCCTGGCACTCATGGACAGACCTCTAAGGAGACTGACTGGAACAGTCCTGGGTCAGGAGGGGGAAGGGTCCCTGCTGGTTGCCAGCGTGAAGCTGGGAAGTCTGGTCATCACCTCAATCATTCCCTGAGTATTTTTTAAAATTCCTTTGTAAGTCCCATGCTGTTTCTGGGAAGGTTTGAGCTATAGCATCAGAGGTTTTGGAGAACCTGTGACCCTGTTTCCAGGGCTTTCCAGGGTTCAGGCTGGTACGTCCTAGAATCGTGCCCACCCCAACACATCACCTCATGCTTGGACAGTGAAGCCATCCTCACTCTCCTCAGTGCAGTGGGCCGTGCCCTCACCACAGCCATGCACTATGCCTGTTTTCTGAGGCGGGGCTGTGGTGTCCCATTCCACAGATGAAAAGCTGGAAGCTCAGAGTGGGTGCTATCTGCTCAGTAGGTGAGAGATGCTGCTCCTTGTGACTGGGAGGGGCGGTCCTCCCTGAATGATTGGGCTGCATCTGAGCTGTCCCAAACTCCTCCTAACTTGGGTGAAGGTGGGGAGGGGCTCCAGCCACCACATCTCACCTGAGCAACTGCACCAGGACATGAGTCAGTGCCGAGGACCTTCACTTTGCCAAGTCACGGCCTCCTGCAATAGTACCGAGGAGCAGTGTGTCACATTCTTGGTAAGGTTTTTCCTCTTTTATTGCCAAATTCAAATTTACAAGGAAGTTTCCAGTTTTCATTTCCACCCTCATGCTCAGCACCCACAAAGCATGAGTCACAAGGGCAAAAGCAGGTACTTCCCTAGAATGGCCAGAAGTGCCGAGATTTCCCAAGCCCTGCTCCTCACTGGCACAAGAGCTATTTACATATTTTCAGCTCACAGGAACAGAAGACAACCTGACAGGTTATGCCTGACAGTAACATCACTACATTACATATTTCATATTTATTGCATCTAGAAAAGCTCAGAATTGGTTCACCGGTGCCCTTTTAAAACAGTGCATCTTGGAGATCACACAGCAACTCCAGGCCTGTCCGCAGGAGGTGTTTCTGCTCCCCATGCCTGGAACACAGGGATCTGGAGGACAGTGGTGAGGCAGGGCCACCCTCTGTGGAGAGAGCAGCTGGACAGGGCAGCGCGCTCCTAGTCCCTCTCTGGCCATGGCTGTCCCCACTCAGTGGAGGAAGCTCACCTTTCCCTGTTCATCCTACTGTGGAGGGCTGGGTGTCCCAGCCTCCAAGCCACAAAAAGATGTGCAACTTTCAAAGCAGAGGGCTTTGAGGACTCGGTAGCCAATGCTGCTAAGCAAGCCTGACAGTGGACTTGGGGAAGGTAACCAGGCAGGCTGTAGCAGGACTTGGAGATGGCCGATAGGTGGGTATTTGAGGGCTGATCCCAGATGCCTATTCAGGACCTGCAGGTAGCTGCTGTGGCCCTAGCAATGGGCTTGCCCAGACCACCGTCCTACTGAGAGATCTATCCTGTCCAGGATGGCAGGTGTGGGAGAGCCCCAGCTGTTAGATTGTGGAGTGCTCCTAAACACATACCGGTGTCCACTGTCATCAAGATAGTCAAGACCTGGAAAAGGTGAGGCCTTCGTCAGAACCCAAGGGGCCAGCTGCCACTGCTACCATGAGGCCAACTGGAGCCACTGACTTCAGGCAGCAGTTGGTGGTCCCAAGAAGGCAGGACAGTCACTTCCTTCTCTCAGCTCTGCTGCACCTGAGATGTCATCCCCAAGCCAGAAGGGCATGGCTCTGGGGCTTTGTTCTGCGTGCACCTGCCTCCCTCTAAAACATCAGCCAGAACACATGGTCCTCGCCTGGACGACACAGGCCTCTCCCCAGTGAGCACATCTCTCCTCTCTCTTGAATTGACAGAACTGTTTCCATAGCACCACTCAGCTCCTGGTGGGAAGCTGAAGTGGTGAGGACCAAGTTCCTCTAACAGATGGCTGGCCAGGTCACAGCATGTCTCCCAGGGCCACCACATAGCTGTTTGCTGGTCACTGGCACTATGTGGGTACTTGTGGTAGGCACATCAACAGGGAAGCTGTAGAGGGTCTCAATGTATCTCATAGGTGAGGGGTCACTCACTGTGTTTGATCACAGGTTAAAGGAATATCTTGGAGCTGGGTGGAATCTGAGTCCCCTGTACAGAGTACAGAGAAGAATACAGGGGGAGGGGGGACATGCTTTGTGCCCAAGTGCCTACTGCTCTTGAAGCCAGGACCCTCCCTCAGGGTGTGCATGCCCAAAGGGGGAGATGCCCAGGTTGCCTTCTGGCACCTTCTCTCCTTGTCTCTGGGTCTGAAGTCCACATGGTCCCCAGTGACTTCTCAGATAAACAGATGGAATCAGCTGCAGGTGAGGTTGGATGCCACTTGCCATGTGGTGTGAGCACGGGGTGGGGCACAACACAGTTACATCATGACCTTGCTCAGTAAGTGATGGCGGAGCAGCTTCCGGCCCTCACACTCCATGTGGCCCTGAGAGTTCGTGTATCTCTTCCAGTGGGTTTAAAAACAATCTAAATTTGTCAGGAAGGTATGCTAGTATTCCACAGGTTTATAGAGTTAGTAACAGAGAAAGAAGAATCATTTAGGAAGATGGAGAAAATGACACCCAAAACTCTTAAAAGACAAACGTTGACAAATTCAAGGGAAAATGAAACCAACAGTATCATCACACTTTTAACATGACACCAAATCTTGGGGTTGAAGAGTTTTTTCTTCCCCAAATAGATGCTTTTTTAAATAAATGCTTTTAGCCACTCCTAAACCAGAAATAGCCAAGAGATGTTGATCCAAGTTTGCTTTTCTACAACTTGCTACCCAGAGCGAACTTGTCCAATTCTTCTGTGTATACAGTGGGAGAGCCGCCTGCAGGAACGGAGGGGCGCTGGTGGGTCCTGCCACCTGGGCTGTCGGGCTCCCCCTGGGCAGCCATGGTTGTCCTGTGTCCTATGGCCCAGACTGTTTTTAAAGAGGTAAAAATGAAAGAGGGGTTCACATGGAACATGGCTGTCTATCTGATCCTCAGGAGTGTGGGGACAGGTATCCGAGATAGGTGCTGGAGCCACAGAGAAGTGTGGGTGCTTCCAGTTTGTCTTGTCATCACCTGCACTGGGGTCCCTACCAGCGGGCCGCATGCACAAGGGGAGGACTGGCGTTCACTCAGTGCTCCGTGGGGCCTGCAGGCTCCGCACATGCAGCCTCCTCGTCCAGGGTCTCTGGGCATGCTGCGGCTGGCGTGGAAGGCAGGGGGAGGCCAGTGAGGGTGCGGAGGCTATGAGGATCAACCGGAGGGATCAGGGTTAGTGACTCGACACTTAGTGTGTCGGCAGTGTCCTCATAGAGCAAGGAGATGGTGGGCTGCTGGGCAGGGAGGAGGCTGGGAGACAAGTGTGCAGTCTCCACCTCTGTGCCTTTGGCTGAGTTCTTGCTGGGCTTGGCTTCTGCTTCCATTTCGTTGACGATCTTCAACTGGTCAGGAAGGTGAGGTTGAGGCGGTTCTGGAGTTGTGGGGGCATCTAGGAGGTAGAGAAAAAGCAGAGACAGACTCAGGCCTTGCAATCCTGTGCTCAGTCTGCCAAACTCTGCTCCTGTCCTAATTCAGGGCCGGGGAAACCTGGGTGGGAGATGACAGGTGTGGGGGCACAGCCTGGCTCCACCCACTCCTTCTGGGGACACAGAAGCACCACATCCAGTCTTACTGGTCTGGGGAAGGTGTGTCGGGGCCCAGGGTTCCCTGACTTGTGGTACTAGGGAAAAACTGCGGGCTCGTGTCAAATCCCCTCGTGTGTTAAGAAAGCACAGTTCCTGGAAGCAGAGACTGGTCCAGGCAGGCTGTGTACCCGGGCGAGTCCGGCATCCTCTCTGCCTATGATAAAGACATGAGTAAGGAGCAAGTGGGCTCAGGTGCCTGTGACTTCAGGTCAGGGCCAGAGTCTACAGTGATGACTTCCACCCAGGAGGGAGGCCACTGTAACAATAACTATATTCTCAAAAAGAATTTCTCAGCTTACAAAATCTTGGACTGTGCTTTGTCTGTTCCATGTCCAAGCGCTAAATTAACAGCCACCAAGGGGCTGGGGTTGCCCAGGCCACTGCCATCCTGAGCTTCCCACAGGGGCCATGGAAATGGCCTGAGGCAGGTATTTTCAGAGTGTCAATTTCTTTTCCGGTGGGGGTTGATTTTCAAAATCCATGGTTAGACTGCAGACAGATGAGTTGCCCAGCCAGATACCAGAGCAAGCTGAGGTTGTGGTGAAGCCCACCTTGCGGAGCTGCAGAGGCTGCGGAGGGAAAGGCCTGGGCATCCCACCTGGGAGGCAAAGTCTTACTTCTATGGATCTTGGGATCAAGAGGCCTTGGGGCCTCTTAGGGGATGTTTTTGTTCAATGTGATTCCAGCTGAGTTAGTTTCTCTTCTCTTTTAAGACAAAATAAAAGATAAAGGCAAACCGAATACAGCAAAAGAATGGAAAAAGCAAAGAGCAAAAATAAAACCGTGCAGCATAAAGAGTAGATGAATGAGAGAACCCCCCAGAGAAAGCATAAGCAAAGACGCAGGCTCCCGACACACACATTACATTTTTCCCCACAACACTCAGAGCCAGATGAGGTCTGGGAGGTCCTATTAATTTCCAAGGCTTGCCTGTCTGTCTGTCTATCTGTTTGAGTCTGTCTTCTGTCTCCTCCTCCCCCCTCCCTTGCTCCCCAGCCCCACCCCTGCAGTGCTGGAGATTGAGCTTGGGGCCTTGGGCATGCAAGGCAGGTGCTCCACTACTGACCTCCAGCTCCAGCCAGGCCTCTCTTAAAAAGGGAGGGGCAGTGAGTAAGAGAAGGTTCGGAGCAAAGCACTGCTTAGTGTCGGGTCTGCCCCTGCTTGGACGCGGGCGCAGGCACCAGTGAGCACTGATGGAAAAGTGACTGAGGTGTGACCTGAGCCCACAAATGGGGAGCTGACATTCCTTGAGAATTCTAGTTCCCCAGAATTTTAGGTAATCTGCTCCATGTGGAAGGGTGCCTGTGGCACAGGGCTGCTTCCCCTCTGGCTCCTCTCGACCTTCAGCAAGGCTTGTCTGCTCCTGCTACTTTACACTTGGTACAAAGAGGGCTCAGGCCTCTGCACACTCACTGCAGTGCACGTAGGACCTCCGGGGAGCAGCACGAACGAGGCTGTTTGGAAATGACTAATTCTCCAAGTGGTGCTGTCCTGCCACCTGGAGATACAGGGGCAAAACCACTTCCTTCATGCTTCCTAAGGCTTGCACAGGAGAGCTCCCTTGTTGCTCAGCCTGTGCCTGCAGGCAGATGTTCAGGAGCTGGCAAACCTTTCCACGATCCCTACTGGGGTTTCTGATGAAGAGGATAATTGAGGAGATGGGAACGCTGCAGTCAAAACCCACTCATCCACACAAAACTGGTTTCTTCTCCAGGAAAAGAACCGACAGTGGGAAATCTGCCATGTCGGTAGGCCCACGAGGAGGGGTGGTCTTGCCTCCCGGGATTTCAGCCTATGAGGCTCTGACAGGGGCCCCTTCCTCCCTGGCTAGCACCCTTAGAAACTGTGCTGCAGCTTTGGGGCAGGGCCTCAGCTGGTCTGTGTCAAGTGTGGGGTGTTTCCGGGCACAGTCTGGATGTGCTTGCCCCAGGAGAGGCAGGGTGGGAAATGGGAGGGAAAGGAAAGGCACGCACACCAGGCTGTGGGTGAAGCTTGGAGGAAGCGGGGAAACAAAAAAGCAGGAGAGAGGCTCCTACTGACAAGCGCAACTGCCAATGGAGGGGAGGGGACACATCAGACACCACAGAAGAAATGTCACTGGAGAAAGCAGCAGTGGTAGGGCCCTGATGGAGTGAGCCAGGCCACTGGCAGCCTCGCCGGTGACATGCAGCGAGCACTGAACATAAAGGGAGCCACAGGGTCCTGCTCTTTGGTGTGCGATGGGAACTTTGGTCTCTGTTTGGAAAGTGGATGAATCTGCCACTGAGCTTTGGGCTAGGCAAGGGGCTAGAGAAAGGAATAACTTTTTGGTCCTGTTCTGTAAGTTCTCAATTCTCCAGCCAACTGCTGCTCAGACCTATGGCCTAAACCACAGGGACCAATGGGAACACACTGGGAGATGCCACCTCCAGCTCAGGGCTGGCTCTGGGGAGGCTGAGCTGCACAGGAGGCTAAGTGAAGGTAAAGGACTGGGGGATTTAGGCTGCAGGCAGATAAGGGAAACTGGAAGGCCCTGGAAGTAGAGGAAATCACCAACTCGAGGGCTTCACTCTCCCGCAGCCTGGGGTCCTCACAGGCCCAGGCTGCCCCCCAGGCTCCTGTAGGCCCTGCCGAGGTGACAGGAGTATGGTGGGCCCGTGCGGCTCTGTTTGGAGACCTGCCTGAATTGATTGTACGCGAGTTGCCGTGGCAGCTGCCGTTCGAAGAACTAAACCCAGTGTCCACCATGACTGTCGGCCTCCGACAGGCTGAACACTCGCCGGCGTCCTTTCCTGCCACTCCTGACTAGAGGGAAAACACAATGACAGATCATAGAAAGCCTTTAACAATGGAACAGCAAAGGTGATGTAGACAGGGACACAGCAGAGACGGATGCTAAGCATCGACGAGAGCGAGGCACGGGGCGGGGCCCTGGTGTGGGTTCTTGGTAGGGGTACGGGGAGCACCCCCACCCCATGCACACAGGACATTCTCACGCCACCCCACCAGAGGAGGCAGGATCAGAGGACTTGAGAACCAGAATAGTCACTCATACGATTTAACTGGGTTAAGGACGGAGAAAGTATAGTCCTGTTGGGAAGGAAAGATTTGGAGTCAGTGGCAGCACAGGGCCTTGGTCACAGATCTTACCAAGCAGGAGCACAAACTTGCCTATCAGCATCAGCTAGGACCCACAGCTAAAAAACAAAATCCCTGCCTCCCCAAGACAGTGTGAGAGGGAATGGGTGTATGATTGGAGGCTCAGAGCCAAACCAGCTAAGTGAACCCAGCAGATTTCTGTAGGCCCTGCTGAGGTGACAGGAGTGTGGTGGGCCCATGTGGCTTAGGAAGCGACAGTTCTCGGGGTTGGTGCTGCCTTGCTCGCAGATTTCTGGGAAAGCAATCTGTGCCCCCTGGGTGACCTGGTGATCTGTACCTTGGAAACTGCAGAAGGAACCACAGCTGAAGGGCTGTGGTCAGGGACCAAGGGCTGAGGGAGTACATCTCACTGCAAAGGAACAGCTACCATCTCGGGGATGAACTCAGGATAAAAGCAAAGCTCAAGAGCAGCAATGGGAAGGTACCGCAACGTCATAGGACCATGTGCCGGAAACTGGCTACAGCGGCAGCTTCCTGTTCTATCTATATTACCTGCCTAAAGAAAGGAATGCTGTGGAACAAATGAGAAAAGACAAACATGTCTTCCTTTCAGTTTCTATCCTTAAAGTCTAGAAGGACGAAGGTGATGGAGTTCAGTGACATGGAGGCTGTCTGGTGCTCTCCATGGAGGGATGAGGGGTGAGAGGGATCACAGGAGGGGGCACCAGTGGGAAGCAGCTCCTTCCTTCTTTTTGGAACACTTTGGAGGGTCAGAGCCTGGTGAGGTATGAAATGTACTTTAAAAGGGCCAGCTGACCTTCACTCTGATATCATTTTCTAACAAATGACTTCTGTCCTCTTCAAAGCAGCGCTCCCAGAACACACGAGAAATCCAGCTAATCTGGAGATTAGAGATACAAGTGGCTGTTTAAGGAACTCAAGGTAGGTCACAGAGCGCTTATCTAAGGGAACAATATGTTATCAGATTCTCAGACAGACTCTGTGTGTGTGTGTGTGTGTGTGTGTGTGTGTGTGTGTGTGTGTATGTGCAATGTGGCACTTTGTGGTGCACAGGCCAGCCTGTAAGGAAGGTAATTGGGCCTATTTTTCTTTTCTGGTCCTAAGTTCTCTGCAATTTCAGCTTCTCAAAAACAGACAATGTTAAGGGGGAAAATGCTGATTCCAACCCTGCAATTTTCTTACTAGGGATCAAGCTGTGGCCACCAGGGCAGTTATGCTGGACGTGTGGGCGACACAATGCCTGGCTCACAGGCACTTAATGGTAGCCAGTTCGCTTTACAAGGTATAGAGTATCACAAAGTACTCCCTTTAAAGAGCAGTGGAGCTGGACATGGTGGCACATGCCTGTACTCCCAAAACTTGGGGATGTGATGGTGATGCTGAGGCAGGAAGATCACTTGAACCAAGGAGTTCAAAGCCAGCTTGAGTTACATGGCAAGGCCATGTCTCAGAAAGGAAAGAACAAAAAAGAAAAAAGGCACATATGGGGGGAGCCAACCAATAGCCGTGACAGACAAAAAATTGACAACAAAAACCACCTCGGACTGAAGTTATTATGGAATTCAGTTTGGGCCTTCTCTGCAGGGTCTGTCTTAGTTCCCAACTTGATCACCCACTCAGTCATGAGCATGGTGGGAACATTTACAGCTTAGTATGCAGAGTGCTCAGGCAGGTGCTGCCCACAGTGGGGTGGCAAAAGGCAGCCCTGTAGGGCAGCGCATCCCCTTTAGGCTGAGGGGCCCGTGCTTGTTCTGGGCTGGAGACAGTGGCCTCCACAGGCTGGGGACTTTGAGGATAGACTAACCTTTCTAGTCTTTACTCTGAAGGGCTGGGTTTATAGAGGCCTGTAGAGGATGGGAAAAGGATTTTACTTGTCTCCAGCAAGACAGAGGTCTTGGGCCTGGTGGACACGTGAGAGATCAAAGTCTGCTTTCCTCACAAACCCCTGGCCAATTTGGTCCTCAGGCCTTAGCTCTCACTTTTAGTGAGGACTCCTCTGGGGGAACAAAAGCTTTCCAGAGGTTCTGCGCTGGCTGCTGACACCTTCTGCTTGTTCCTTTTCTCATAGTTTGTAGCTATACGCATCTGTGTAGCCATCTGGGCCCTGGTCGGCCCAATCAGATGTAAGATCCAGGCCTTGCCACATGGTACCCTTAATGCCTGTGCACAGTGGAGACTCCATGGAAGCCTCCTTGCTTAGAAAAAGATAACTTAATAGGAATGAGCATAGGGCACCTAAAGCCAAGGTAGAGAAAATCCAGGGAGGTGGTCACTAAGAGGATGGGGAAACCAGTGAGGACTGGGTGGATGGAGAGACCTTGTGGATCAGGTGTCCGGTCTATAAACCTAAGAGGAGCACCCTGAGCCATTAAATCCAGGCAGCCTAGGGGGAAGGCCCTACAGGAAGGTGAGACATCTATATCTGGGATGAACACAGACCTCTGTCAAACCCAGGCAGGAAGTGTGAGATGCCTGAGCAGGGTGGCGTGGAGGCAGATAATGCACCTGCGCATCAGTCAGAGTCTTACCCACTCCTGTAGGGATAAAGCCATACAGGCCAGCAAAGGAGACAGGACTTTTGGGGTCTACTTTGATGCTGATTTATTTGATGGTGTCTATCAGGCCTTTACCTGATGGGCCCATACACCCTAGCTTTCTGCTCCCTTGGGCTATGCCAGTTCCCCAGGCCTTTACAAATGTAGCTTTTCAACTGGGCCCCTGAACAATGGTGCATACAGTGTTGTGCTCCATGGGCTGCTATCCACTGGGTCCCAACCAAGGCCCGGGTAGGTCTCTTGGGTCAACCCTGGGAGGTACCAAAGAAAGACCTGGAACCTGCATCAGAAATTCTGCTAGCTTGGTTTAGAAGGTGAAGAACGAGCTATGGACCTGCCAATGGTAAGGTTTAAATTCAGACTCCTGTGCTTGCTAGCTGCATTGTCTTGGACAAGCTGGAAGACCTTTCTGAGTTCCTGTGTTTGCAGCGGTATAGAGGGAAGTAAAGCATGGCAGGACCCAGTGAGAGGGCCTGCAGGGTGCTCATGGGCACAGTGCCAGGCACTAGAAGGGCCTGGGCTTGGAAGTGCAGCTACTGGACCTGCACAGTATGCACACACTGGGCTGTGCGGTGGCTGTGGCAGGAGACCATGCAGACCCATAGCTCTTTATAGACATTTTTTAAACTTTAAAATTGACATTTTTAAACTTTAACACAAATAATTGTGCATGTTTAAGAAGTGCAATATATATATATATATGCTGAGTAATGGTCACACAAGGGCAATAGACATTTCTAGACCCTCAAACATTCTTTGTTTCTTTGTGTCAGGAATATTCCATATCTGTTCCTCTAGCATTTTGAAATGTACTACAAGTGACTGTGAAATGTGCCACAGTTGCCATACTGTTACAGACTTTAATCTTCCTATTTAACAGAACTTTTGTAACATCTCTAATTTTCCAAGATATCCTTGTAAATTCATGTTCTCAGAACCATGGTGCAGACCCTGGAACACTGGGCCTATCTCATTTCCAGATGGATGGCGTCTCTTGGGTCCTTTTTTTTTTTTATTAATTAATTTATTTGGTGTGTGTGTGTGTGTGTGTGTGTGTGTGTGTGTGTGCAGCTCAGCCCACCAGGGGGCGGGGCTGGCTGGCATGTGGTGCTGGGGGATTGATCCGCGGTCCCTGTGCTCTGCTAAGCTTGTTCTAAGTAGGTGCTTTAGACCACTGAGCCATCTCACCAGCCCGGGTCCTTTCATAAGTAACACCTGACCATGCAAAGTGTGACCTCAGTGGCAGCATGGCCCCTGGAGTGTGTTAGTTCCTGAGAGCTTCTTGCCACACTGGAAAGCATGCTGGACTCTGGAGGCTCTGTGAATATACGGTCATGGATACTTCTGATTTAGCGCTATTTCCTCGGAACCTGCTCTGAGGACTCCTGTCCCCATAATAAGGCAGCAGCTATCCAGATTAAGCAGTGCAATTAGGGTAGATGGACCAGGATGGCAAGAGGCCTCCTTGTCCCCTCCATGGATGCCACCTCTGCCAAGTTGTACCAGGCCCCTGTGGGGTGGAAACTCTTGCCAATAGGGTGTGCATGGGCAGCTAAGCACGAGACCACCACTCAGATCCAGGGACAAGCCAGGCACTGGCAGTAGGCAGCCCATGTCAACAAAGGCTCCTGCCTTTTTCTCCTATTTTGGCTTCTCTCTAGCACAGTCTGGTAGGATACCAAACAGATGCTTGAACCATCTGGTTAGAACTGCTCCTATAGGGAACAAGGAAACAGAATATACGCTTTGTTCTGCATGGGTGGCTGACAGCTGGCCTGGAAGCTTAGCTTCGAGACCGAAGAAGCTCCTGGGCTACAGTGCTCTCTCCTTGCAGGATCCATAGTTGTCCAAAGGCATCCATTTCCCTGTATGACAGTAAAGCATGTGCTGCCTGCCAGCCTGCCCTTTACCAGGAGGACAGTAGTTATCCTGGTGTCTGTAGAGGTGGACAGGCAGCTGTACCTCAGGCTCTTTCTATCATGTGGCATAACAAATGAGGCACTACATGCTTGCCCGCTGGGCCTGCACTGAATGGGAACAGACGCTGTGGAGGTCCTTACTCTACTTGTTGACTGATACTACCTGGCCACCTGGCAGCATGACTGACAGCACTTGGATCTGTGAGATGAGAAGGCACATGTGGGCACAGTGTGGGCATGGTGGTGGTGGGGATGACGGGGCTGAGTAAGGCCAAGAAAAGGAGAAGCTCACACACACCACATAGGTGATCTTGGAGGAGGTGCAACTGCAAAGTCCAGCTATCGCACGTGGGGGTTTAGAGGCCAGGTTTTGGTAATGTGGCTGCTCGCTGGTTTCAGCTCGTGGCAAAGAAGTGTATGGCTTATTTGTTCACTTAGCTGTGGGCTGTGCCTCCTTAAAAATGGAAGAAGTGTCCAGAATAATATGGGAGCTTTCATCCCAGAGCATTTTCAAATGTGTTTGGTGCACACACACAGAAATGTGCACACGCAGGCAGAAGCTGTGTGCACACAAGCACACGGACACAGGCGGTAGATGGAGAGGAGGGGAGGGGCCCGAGGGCTGTGCCTGGAGTGAACATCCCAGTTACAATCCTGGGAACAGGGCTGGCTGCTGCTTAGATGTTCAGTCAGCCCTACATCGGGTTCAGAAGTACCTCAGAGAGTGCAGTCACCTACCCCAGCTCTGCGCAGAGAGGGTCCCAGTGAGGGGCCTGGGCATGCCCTTCTTGCCTGGGCCTCATGATGGCAATGGGAGATGGAGGTCATGCGTGCTCCTGGGGATGCATAGGAGGGCCCTGAGCCCCAGTGAGAACACCAGGCTGGCTTAACTCTCCACTGGAAACCTAAAAGCTGCAAACACTGGAGAGAAAAGTGCAGGCGCCTGGGGAGACTCGGTTCTCCACGCCTTCCTCCACTGTGTCTCTTGTCACCATACCCCATTCCACAACGTTATGACAACCAGGTCAGATGCTCTTGAAGTGCAGTGGGTGGGGACTCTAGATAGGACTTCACAGGGACAATGAAGAACACCAAGGGTCCTCAGGTGGGGGCACTGGCGGGAGTGACAGGCATCCTTAGACTTGGGGTGGCGCTTGGGGCTGGGATGAGGAACAGACAACTGGCTGGAGCCATCCAACCTGCTCCTGCCTGAGCCCTGCAGCTCTGGCTGAATTTTGGGGCCTTGTCCACCAAACAGGCCTGGTGTCTACTCCCAGGATCTTACACAGCAGAGCCAGCACTCACGTTGTATGGCTCATGGCAACTGAGGATGAGGTTGTGGGGGCGGTAGGGCTGGGGTGTCACTTGCACTTCCTGCTCCAGGCTGACTCCAGGGGCTCATGAATTTTCTCTGTGCTGTGTCTGAACTGGTTTAAGGTAAAGGACAGTAAAATGCAACTTCCACATGCCCAAAACATTACAGAGGGTGGCAGGATGTACCCGAGTATGACGACTGTACCACACTGAACATTTAAAGAGCAGACGGACCAGGTATGGTGGCACTCGCCTGCAATCCCAGCACTCAGGAGGCTGAGGCAGGAGAATCTCTGTGAATCTGAGGCCAGCCTTGACTACATAGTGAGTTCAAGGTTAGTATGAACTGTTTAGAGAAGGTCCTATCTCAAAAAAAACTACAGGTAGGGCAAGGAGACTAGTATGTGGGGTGGGAGGACTAGAAGGGACTCCATACTTTTCACGGAATCAAGCAATAGCCTCCAGGACACCCCTCTTTTTTTTTTGTGGAACGGGGATTGAACTCAGGCCCTTGTACTTGGCTGGCAAGTGCTTATTCTATTGAGCCGTCTCCCCGGCCCTAGGCCATTCCTCTTGAGGACACCTATGGCTCTGGTGGTAATGACAGCTGGGCTTAGCCAGGATACCTGTCACCTATCCCTTCAGCTCTGCGGGCAGGGGAGGCCTTACAGTGGAACAGCCTTTGCCAAGGAGCTAAGCCAGCTGTAGGCAACACCTTGGAGGGTTCGCGGAACACTGCATGGGGTGGCAGCATCCATTACACACCATAACAAGGAGAAGCAGTGGTCACCGCAGTTAAGGAGGTGAGGGGCAGGAGCCCCTGCCTCTGAGTCGCTTGGCCAATACCTGCTGGGCTCTGGGCTGCGGAGGGTGTGGAAGATGAGCCCCCTGAGTCCCAGTGGCTGGTGCTCCCGCTGCCGCTGGGGCTCCCGCTGGCAGAAGGTGGTGATGGTGATGGCAGGGACGCTGAGCTGTGCTGGTTTATGCACTGGGCCACGGCAAAGCCTGCAAGACAATAGCACGTGAGCAAGTAGAAGAAAACTGGCAGGACCAGACAGTGCCCTGAGGCTAGACGGGGCCTGTGTCAAGGTGGCCTCAGCAGCCTGCTCCAGAGTCTTGGCTCATCCCTGCTGTGAGCTGGCCTGGCTGGGGACTGACCTGGACACAGGTGGAGCTGTGTCAGGGAAGAGTGTGCAGCCACCAGCACGCTGAGCGCAGGGCTCTGGCCCAAGAGTCCCGAGTGCCTGGTATTGCCTCAGCGGGGCTGTGCTCTGGGAGGGGGCACACAGCCTTGGGAACTCTGGGCTGCTGGCAATGCACACAGAGGGGCTGAGAACCCTAAGGGCAGAACCCCAGGGCTTCTGGTGGTGTGCCCACATTCTGCCTAAGGGAGAGCCCTGGACTCTCCTTGCCAGACACCAGCTCTGCCCTTGTAGATTGATGGGGGATCAGGTGGGGAGCAACCAAAGCTCTGCCCAAGGGCTGCCCATGACAGATCCCAACGTGGTGATGCATACCTGTCACTCCAGCCCTGGAGAGGCTGAGGCAGGAGGACTGCTGTGAGCTCAAAGAGTTCGAGACCAACCTGAGCTACGTGAGTTCAAGGCTAGCCTGACTTCATGATGAGACCCTGCCTTAAAAAACAAAAACAAATAAGAGCTGCCCCTGACAATGGTCCTCAGAGCCACTCTGTGACTTGGAGGTTCTGCAGTCTATGGCCACATGGGGAGGGGACATGTCCATGTTCTTGGAGACACTCAGACATGGATGGTGGAAGTACCGGGCATGTGGACTTGTTTGCTGTGTCTGAGTCTATTTCCCAGCTGAGGGCATTGTCACAAGTTCTCATGCTGACCCTCTGCGCACAGCACACCTGGCATAGGCAGGGTGCGTGCCTAACGCTCAATTAACCTGTGCTTTGTGGCGAATCTCAGCCTTTTTTCCAGGATCCATGCTTTCTTAAAGACTATTCAAGACCTCTGCCCTTTACACTCTGCTGCTCCAAAGACAGTAACTTCCAATTTTATCCACCAAGTCCATTAAAACTTTCACGGAGCAAACACCTCATCAGTAATTTCAGGAGCCCATACAACCCAAGGGCTTCCTGCTGCAGCTCCAGGAGCTAGGCAGGACCCTGGCGCTGGTGTTCTATGACCACGGCCTTTGACCCATAATTCTGAAGCTGCACTAACATAAGGGATGGGGAGCAAACTGTCCTCATAACAGAGGGGGGGACCTGACCTCCTGGCATTCTGTCTTGCTACTCCAAGGGACACCCGGAGCCACAGCAGCCCTAGCCCTCACCTGTGTCCCTGTGCAGCTTGTGCAGCCCACCTTCCAGCTGACACGTCTCCCAGGAGGTCCTCCAGCTTCCAGGCCCCTCTTTCTCAGACTCAGGAAGGTGGCAGAACGTTGAGCACAGATGAGTAGCTGCCCTAGCGACTGCATGCCCTCTATGCCTAAAATGGCCTGCAAAGTCTAAAATATTGCACCTCCTAGTGCTAACAGAAGCAGTGCTGAGCCCAGTGTAGGTGATTCTTTTTTTTTTTGGCAGTACTGGGAATGATCCTTTGCACTGGGCTGCATCCCCAGCCTTTTTTATTTTCAGACAGGATCTTCTAAGTCACTAAGTTGCCCAGGCTGGGCTTAAATTTGAGATCCTTCTGCTTTAGCCTCCAAGTGTGTTGGGACCACAGGCGTGTGGCCCCATGCCCAGCTGGAAGCCAGGATTTTAACTCTCACCTGTTTACCTACCAGCTAAGAGGCCCAGACAAGCCCGTGCAACTCGCTTAGTCTCTTGTTTTCTCTCAGCAGATGGGACTCACTGCCTTTCACTTTACTCTTTAGTACTCAGTGGCCACCAAGGAGGGGCTATTTGTACTGTTTGTGATGAGCTATTTTTGCTACTGATCAGCTCCTTAAACATCAGGGGCCCTACTGATATCCCTAGCCAGGCTCCAGAGGCCACATCGCCTGGGTTGACATGGATGAAGCCTGTGTTTCCTGGCATTGTGTGTAATTTCAATCTTGGGCTCTGTGTGGTAGAAGATGCTTCCTACCCTTTTCTACCGCAGAGGTCTGCTTATAGAGGGAGTGGCAGGGTCACTTGGGGTGGGGGAGCCTCAGGAGGAGGCATTATATGATAGACTGTGTGTGGTGGGAGAGAGATCCCATCAGAGGAACCATGGCAAGCATCTGGCAAATCCAAACAATGCTCAGGAAAATTCCTTGGGGACAATCAGCCACAGGCTTATAGAACAAGTTTTATAGCTGCTTACTTCTTAATCACTTAAAGTGGTAAACCCCGAGTTACAAGCTGTTTACTTGCCTTGAAAATGAATTACTCCTTAACAAATCAACGTGTCAGGAGGCTTTTCCCCAGCCGCTTATTTATCAGAGGCTCAGGCATGGGGCCTGCACAGTGCCATAAGAGTTGGGATTATTCCCTGTATGCCTCAGGGAAAGAATGACACAGCTGTGACCTGGGTGGTCACACATCTCTTCTGAGGACGCAGGTCTGGGAAGTGCTTGTTTATGACCACAGTGTCATCTACCTGTTTGTGCATCAGGAATGAGGTATGTGGGGAGCAGGCAAGACAGGAAAATTGCAGTCAAGATCCTAATGTTAAATCCCTAGGGAGAAGGGGGTGGGGAGGAGAGGAAGAGGGAGAGAGAAAGAAAAAGCCTTTCATCTAGGGAATGGGCTGGGGTCAAGCCATACACTGTAATCAAATTTGTATGTAATGATAATTAAATAGAAAAACATGCTAATCTCTGTCTCATGCAGGGTCTAACTGAGCAGAGGCAAGGGATGTACCTGTCCCTCCCTGCTGCTACTGAAGCCCCCAGTGTCCTTCCATTCTCCCTGAGCAGTACAGCCAGTTTTTCTTTCAGCTGAATGTCCAGATCCCACCCGTGCAGTTTCAAGGGGTTCTTTCCCCTTGAAATCGAGGCAGCAACCACTGTGAGAGACTGTTGGCCCTATCAGAGGGACAAGAGGCATCAGAGGTCATCTCTGGAGGAAAGCCTTGGCCTGTTTCTTGTTCCATTGCAGCGAGGCGGTTCTGGGCGAACTGGCTGCCGCAGCGGTGCTAGAGGCTTTCTGGGCCTGCATCAAACCCACGCAGTCCGCCAAGTCCTTGCAAACACACAGACAAACAAGCCAGAGATCATAGGCGATGGGCCTCCCAGAGATCTTCTCACCAGATAAGTCTTGGCTTTCCCTGGTGTGACTCAAGAGCAGCCCCTGTGAAATGTATATCAAGGGTCACACGGACATGCCGACCCTCCACTCGCTCTGTGTCTAGGAGTCTCTCCAGCAGAACCATGGTAGGCAGATCCACATGCAGAGCTAGTGCTGTCTGGTGCGCTGGCAAGTAGGGCAGGGTGCTAAGACAGGAGCTGTGTCCCGCAACAGGGAAAGACAGATGTGCCCGATGCAGCCAGATGATGAAACCCTTTGATGCTGACAAGAATGCTAGCCGAGAGGAAGAGTAAGTGTCAAGGGAAATGCTCACGATGTAACAAGTGAGGTTAGAAAATCATGTCGCATGTGTTCCTGTTGAAAAAAATTCAGGCCATTCCTTGGCCCTTGTGCATGGCAGCTCTCTCCTCTTGGAGATGTGGGGCTCCTAGTAACGACAGAACAAGGTGCCTTATTGAAGTGGGCTTTCTTTTTCTGCACTTGTCTGAATTTTGTAAGATTTCTACTACGAATATTAGTTTCGTTTTTAGGTGATATTGGAGATAGGACCCAGAAACTCTGCATGCTGAACAAGACCTCTCCACTGAGCCATACCCCCAGCCTTGAGTATCATTTTAAAACCGAAATAAGTGGATGTGGGAGGAAATGCACACTGGCCAGGGGCTGGACAATCAAGCCTGGCCAATCTGCCCCAGCATCTGTACTGTTTTCTAAGTTCTCTCCTCTGGGATCCCCAGGACTACCCCCTCCCACAGGGCCAGGCATGATGTTTCAGGGGCAGGCAGGCCCAAACGGGTGGTGAACCTCATGGTCCACCTTCCAGGAGCGTGCACTGGCAGGCTGGGGTCTTCCTGTCACCCTCTGGCCCCGTTCTGCCAGTTATTCTGGGAAGATGAAGGAATGAGCAATTCCCTGGCATCTATCAAGCACAAAAAATACTACAAACAGCTTAGTCTTCTACTTTAGGCTACCTGACAGAGGGAGCACTGGGTGTGGACTCACAGCTCAGATTTGAGCCCAAATTCTACCTGGACTGGCTTTGAGACCTTGGATAAGCCCCTTCTTCACCCTCAGCCTACTCATCTGCTTTTGCGGCTAAGAACCAGGTGATCACATGAGTCAGGATCCAGAGCTGCAATGGGGTCTGGGGAACTGCACACCTGTTTGCTTTGGTAATGTCATGTCTGTTGGTATCTTTATTGTAGGCAGCAGCATTTGTACATGGCGATTTTTTTGTACATTTTTGTTTTTTTAGACTATGTAGCACAGGCTGGTCTCAAACTCATGGCAATCCTCCTGGCTCAGCCTCTTAATTGCTGGGATTATAGGATTTTACACACAAATCTGAATTTCTGGTTCTTTAGAAAATGAAAAGATCAAGATCCAAGCTGGGTGTCATGGTAGACACCTGTCATTCCAGTGCTCTGGCAGGCTGAGGCAGGAGGATGAAAAGTTTGAGCCTGGCCCAGGCAACTTAGCAACTTATGGAGACCCCATCTCAAAATAAAAATATAAAAAAAGGGCTGAGGCTGAAGTTCAGTACAGAAGCACTGGGTTTAATCCCCAGTACTGAGAAAAGGCAGAACAAACCAAGATCTAACATGAGGCAGGTCTGGGGGCTCCCTCCAGGCTACATTTGGAGCTCAGCAGAACTCTTCTTCCCCTCCTGCCCTCTCTGTCCATGCTGCGGGCAGTCCTAATTCCTCCCTGTTTTAACCTTACCTTCTTGGTCACATCTAGGGCTTTGGGAAGGTTCTAACCCCCAGAGACCACCCCAACTAGGTCCCTCTTAGAGCCTGGA